TGATCCATTCATTTATTCATTCATTCATCAAGTATTTATTGAGTGCTGATTATGTGTTAGATAGTGATGAACATGATGAAAAGCTCCTAGTATCACGGTGCTTACCTTATAATAAGTGAAGATAGTTAGACACAAATAACTAAGTACGTCAGGAGGATAATATCTGACAGTGAAAAATGCTATACTTAAAATGAGGCAGTGTGACAGCAAATAACTTGGGTGGAGTGGGTAGTTCTTTTGGATAGGGTCACCTCTGAGAACATGGCAATTAAATTGAAGTCTAAATGAATAAAGGGAGAATAGTCCAGGAAGAGGGAAAAATGAATGTGAAGTATCTTAAGTGGGAAGGTGGTTGGCATGCTCCAGAAACATTACAGCATGATTAAAATGTAGGTGGCAAAAGCGGAGAGTAGGATGAGGTTGGATCTTTACAGGACAAGATTATACTTCTGGGAATTAATTAATTAATAGGCACTTTAGATATAGTTTGGAGAAAGGCTGTAGGAGGACAAGAGTGGAAATGAGACCAGTTAGAATTTTAATAATCCAGAAGAGACAATGGTACTTTTGACTAGGATGCTAACGTAGTTGCCATTGAGTTATCATTCTGACTCATGTGATAATGGTGGAAATGAAAGCATACACATTGAAATTTTAATGATCCATTATTTTTGGCTAGTTACAGTGATTTTTTTTTTTTAAATTGTGGTAAATAATGCTATCAGACACATTTATGGAAATGTTAAGTTGGAAGTTGGAACTAGAGCTATAAGGGAAAAGTTAGGGCTAGAGAAACAGACTTAGGAACTATGTATGGATGGATGGTTTTTATGACAAGAGAACTGAAAGTTTACACAGAGAAAAAGGGGCTCAGAATGGAGTTGTGGGGCTCTCCAGTATTTAGGATTGGAGAACTCACAGAGAAGGAAATTAGTAGTGGCCAGAAAAGTAAGACATAAACCAAGAACATGATGTTGCAGGAGACAAGAGAAGTTTCAAAAGTCAGAAAATGGTCAACTCAGTCAAAGCCAGAGGTCAAGTAAGAAAAGATAAAGAAGTGATTTGGATATGGCAAGATGGAGGTCACTAGTGACTTTGACAAGAGCAAAGTATAGATTGACAGAACAGGACACAATAACAGAACAGTTGATTCTATTCCAGAAGTTTTAAGGACTGCAACAAATGATGAGCAAACTAGACTAATTCACTGAAAGGAAAAACCGATGCTACAGGAGAGTGGCTTACTACGGTCATTGAGAAGGCAAGGATGGGATCCAGAGCACAAATCTGATCTTCTGACAGAAGGACAGGACATCCATGCCAACAGGAGGGACAACACCGAATAGGGGCACAGATGCAGGCAATGTAGTGGTTTGAGTATTGAAAAATTGAGGGAGTTCCTATCTGGTTTCTATTTTCAAATACAATATGAAAATCATTAGCTGAGAAATAGTGTATGATGTGTTTTTGGGGAAATGGGTTTATACAGAAGGTTGACAAGGCAAGAAAGTCATTTTGAAGAGTAGGAAAACAAACATAAGCAAGAAGTGTAGTGACTCTGCTGGGCAAGATTATGTGCTCTAAGATCTGTAGCCATGAGACTAGTCAACTTGGTTGTATGTTTTCATCCAGCAATGCTTACCAATGCTTAGTTGCTCAATAGCAGGTGAAGAGTTGGGTGTAACTGGGGTTGAGCCTTTTGCCAGGTAAATAGGACTGTGGAACAAGGCAAGTAAACAAATGCAGGGAGGAAGATTTCACTGATAAAAACAGTGGCAATGTCAGTAGATCTGAAGTTTTGATGAGGTGACAGGATTCCCTGAGTGGCAGAACTAAATCAGATGAACTGGATGGGCAGCACTCACAGTGTGATGCTTGGAGCAATTACAGAGGTACTGTGAATTCTGATTTCAACATAAAGGGGATGAGTCTGTGGCTAACTACTAGGATAGGATGGAGGAATGAAAATTTGGAGGCAGAAGCTGAGAAACTGAAAAATGAGTAATTTATGAAAGATATCCAGAACTCAGCTCACTTTAATAAATGTTAATCCTAAAAATAGTTTAAAAATTTGAAACAGCAAACATAGGATTTCTTGTCCATATTATTAAGAGGATGAAGGTGAAAAATCTACATAAGGGGTAGACAGTCCACGTGAACATACATTTAATGCAGGAAGAAATTTACCGGGAAGGCATCAGAGTCCAGTTCTTCACGCTGTCTCCTATTTGCCCTATCCTTATATGACTTTGTTGTTGTTGTTGTTGTTATGTGCCGTCAAGTTGGACCCGACTCATAGCAACCCCTCCTTGCGTTTCCGAGGCAGTATCACTCCGGAAGTCGACTGCCCCATCTTCCTTCCGAGGAGTGGGTTTGAACCGCCAGCCTTCTGGTTAGCAGTCAAGTGCCTTAGGCACTAAGTATTTCTGCTTGAAGGTAGTTAGGTGTTCTGCTAACTGCTTTTATCAGAGTAAATAAAATAGTGAGAAGGGAAAAAATATTAAAAGGAAAAGTTAATAGGAATTTTCAGTCAAGACTTACCACTGATGAACATTTATGCACTCACTTTTCCTTCTGCCTAGGTTCTTCTCACAGAAATCTGTATGGCTCCAGCCCTTACTTCCTTCATGTATCTGGGTAAATGGCACCTTCTACAAGAAATTCTTTGATCTTCATATGCAACGTAACCCCACTCATTCTCTCCTTTCTCTTTTCTTCACATTTACTTATTACACCTAACACACTAGACATTTATTTATTATCTTTTACTCCCATCCAACTATGACATAAGCCCTATCTAAAAGGAAACTTTTGCTTTGTTCATTATTTTTATCTCCAGTTCCTAGGACAGAACTGGGGACATAGTAGGACCTCACTAAAGATAGTTACATGTTAAAAATAACCTACTTTAATAACCTCTAAAGTCTTAAGTACTCAATAAGAATGGTTTCCCATTTTTTACAACTAGAAGGCAAATTATGAACTAAGATTAAAAGGAATAAACTGAATTTTTCTCCTCCACTTTCTCTTTTTTATAATCCATATCCTTCAGCATGGATTACACTTCAACATAAAGGGAAAAAAAAGTCATCACAACTGGACCAGTACACTATATCATGATAAATGGAGAAAAGACTGAAGTGGTCAAGGATTTCATTATACTTGGATCCACAATCAACATCCAGGGAAGCAGCAATCAAGAAATCAGACGATGTATTGCACTGGGTAACTCTGCTGCAAAAGACCTCTTTGAAGCATTAAAGAGCAAAGGTGTCACTTTGAAGACTAAGGTGTGTCTCATTCAAACCATGGTATTTTAAATTACCTTGTATGTATGTGAAAGCTGGAAAATGAATAAAGAAGACCAGAGAAATGATGCATTTGAATTATAGTGCTGAAGAACACTGAATATACCATGGACTACCAGAAGAACAAAAGAAGTACAGCTGGAATTCTCCTTAGAAGCAAGAATGGCCAGACTTCGTCTGTAGTACTTTGGTCATGTTATAAGAAGGGACCAATCCCTGGAGAAGGATATCATGCTTGGTAGAGGGTGAGTGAAGAAGAGGGAGACCCTCAATGAGATGGACTGGCAGAGTGCTGCAACCAGACTCAAGCCTAGCAAGGACTGTGAAGATGACACAGGAATGGGTAGTGTTTCACTCTGTTGTTCACAGGGCTTCCATGAGTTGGATCCAAACCCATGGCACCTCACAACAACATTGGTGTTCAGTAAAAAAAATGAACTCTTATTTGTCTCCTTCAGGGCTCACACACTGCATTTCATAAATCCAATTTGCTAAACTTAAAATTCTGCAAATATACTATGTCTGTGACAGCCTTGTCTAATGATACCGCCTTTTAATTGCCACAGGGGAAAACTCTAGCTAGAATTTTTTCAAGCTGCCACACTGTTAATATTTTGGGGAAGAGGAGTAAAATTACTTACTTATTTAGACTCTATTGTTAATTATGATTTTAAACAACAGAAAGAGAAAAACATTTTGAGTCAGAATATGCTTTAGAACCAAGTATTATGATGGTAGTCCTAATTTTCGAACCCAGACACTGACCAAAATGGTCAGTACAAAAATGGATTTTATGTACTTCTAAATGAGCAAGCACAGGAAGTATACTAAGTGATGTTAAATATCTGCCAGAAAATCTAAGATCTCAGAGGTAATATTTTATTTCAAATGTAATAAATATTATGGTCACATTAATTGTTGAGAGTTACAATGATGAAAATTCTTAAAATTCTTATAAAAAATTGGAATTATTTCACACTTAGACTATACACATTTTTCATGACTGTATCTTTTCCAATGACCTATTTATCCAAAATAAAAATTAAGTACACAGTAATTCACTAACAGTGATAAAACTTCACAGCTGAGAAAAAGTACTTATCACAAAGAAATACAATTAAATGTTTTCTAGAAGTCCAGAAAAGAAATGTTACTGAGAAAAATCCTAATTATAAACAATATAGCTGTGCATCATTTTAAAGACTGACATACATCTAAGTTTTACCATAACACTTATGAAAAAAATTACACATGCCTATTTTGTTCAAGACATAATATGAAACTTGCAATAAATCCTCTACTGTGAAAAAAATGTTCTGCATAATGACCATCTCATTAACAAAGCAAAAATGTTAAACTGAATTGGTTTACCTAATTTGGTCTTCAGTTAAAAATAAAAACAAAACCCACCATCATCAAGCAGATTTCAACTCACAGCAATCTAAAAGACAGAGTAGAACTGCCCCATAGGGTTTCTGAGACTGTTCATGTTTACAGAAGCAGACTGCCTCATCTTTTTCCCACTGAGTGGATGGTGGGTTCCAACCTCTGACCTTCTGGCTAGCAGCCAAATTCTTTAACCTTAACTGCACCACCAGAACCACTAATAATTCATTATAGCAGTTCTGTAGAAAATGGGAAACATTATCACGAGAAAAATATTTTGTCAATGAAAAAAAATCACTGATTCAATGAGCATTTGATTATTTTATTCATAAAATATAAGCAACTCTTACATTTCCCTCTGGTGAAACTTTCCCTTCAAATAAGTTTGTATGGAGAGCCCTGGGATGTATCAATTATAAAACTTGTTAAAAGGAAAACAGTTTTTAAATGTACAAATACAAATCAGTACTTTATACAAGAATCCTCTATAAAGGTCCACAATCAATGTAAAAAATATTTTGTTTCAGTTGAATGTAAGGCATGTTCAGTTTGTCCTACTTTGCACTAGTATTTTTGCTTTGTTGGAGACTGTTCTCTTTGTCGGTCCTGATTTCTCTTGGAGTCTCTGGATTGTTCGGAATAGCTACTAGATTTTTCCCATCGCCTCTCAGCACCATTCTGGTATCTATTTTCATCGCTTCTAGAGCCTGAATGTTTCCTATTCTTTTCCCTTGAATTTGATCTATCTTTTCTTCTAAAATTTTCACTATCTTTATTGTGGTACTTGTGCTTCTCATTTTCTGAAAAAGAATTTCTCCTCTCTTCTCTCTTCTTTTTGTGATCACCATGCTTATTTTCCAAATCCATGTGCACTTCTTGCTCTCTGTCATTCACAATTCTACTGTAACTATTTCTTTCAGAAGGAACACCTCTGTCTGAAGTATATTTTGTAGTGGCATCTCTCCAATGAAGATCTCTTAAATTCTGATCTCTTTGTTTTCCTGACCTTTCTCTTTCAGTCCTTGTTTCCTGGTGCCTTTGTTCCCATCTCCTTTCTTCTTGTTTTCTGTCATTTGTTTGTTGCTTCCTAATTAATTTATCTACTTCTTTACTTCTGGTCTTCCTTTGCGCCTTCCTTCGTGTATTTTTAGCTGTGCATGTAAAATGAAATATAGTTAGCTTTTATTTCAATTTCATAATTCAACAATCACATTTACTAATATATTATTTAATTTAGTACATTAGTAAACATTATAGGTTCATTAATTCAGACAATGTAGATACCAAAGTGATGAACAGAAACACTGATGACTGAACATTTAATAAAATGTATGATTTTAAAGAATACACCATATGTCAACATTAGTTACCAAGTACTACTCTGATAGGAGCTCTGGTAGCATAGTGGCTAAGACACTTGCCTGCTAACCAGACGGCTGGTGGTTCAAACCCACCAGCCACTCCTCGGAAGGAAGGTTGGGCAATCCTACTTCTGTAGTGATACTGCCTCGGAAACCCAAGGAGGGGTCGCTATGAGTCAGGTTTGACTCGATGGCACATAACAACAACAACAACACTACTCTGATCCTCAGACTCAAGATAATGAACAGAAACTATAAATAAATAAACTTTAGCAAACGATTTAAGATTTTTGTAGAAGTAACTAGAAAGGTATATTTATACTTACAATGGAAATTCCAGTCCATGTGCATTTTTTCATATGAAATATTCTATCAGACCTGGTACATAATCAAAGTTCAATGAACATACTCACTAGCAATATGACTTCCTATAAAGGTAGAGGGAATGAACAACTAGATTTGTTTAACCTCATCCATATATTTTTCAAATAAAAACTATGAAAACAATAGCTCTGCTCTCCAGGGCTATCAGAGAGGAACTAACTGCACCAGTAAAATAAGCTATGTTATAAAATAAAAAGTCTATGCTAAGTAATCACAGGCTTTAGAGAACCACTAATACTTGCTTTTTAGAGAAAATTTTTCTCAAAAGGCCTCTGGCAATTTTACTCACGTATCATATAATTACAAATATAAATATATAGTACTATATAGTTTGGGTACATAAACCAAAGGTGCTGTAATGACCAAAATTTCTGTCAAATTGTTACATATACAGAAAGAAAAAATATGGTAGGAAACTGCCTACCTTCGCCCTACCTCCATTCAGACCTCATTGTGCCAACCTCTATTCTTCTGCCAAAATGCTTATCCTTGGCACAGTGGACAGCCAGTTGGTTTGCCATGAAAGGTTTACTTCTCTGGTTCCTGTAACAGCTCAACTGAGTACCCAAGCATAAACCATCTGGTTCTCTGCTAAACCAACATCTATTCTCTCTAACCCTGCCTTATACTAATCTCAGTGCTTTATTGACATGAAAGCCTTGCTCACAGAACAAATATACAATCTCTTCTCATTTTGCTAAGTGTGCTCTACAATTTGCCAATTTGAGGGTTGTTCAGACTGCTGTTATGCTAGTTAATATTTTATTAATAAAATAAAAATTTTCTACTGAAATTGCATGGTAAGGAGAATTAATTTTGAATCAGCAAGCTTCCTTACTGCAGCAATTCATGCTGTGTTATCATCTGTTCTCAAAACAGATACTATGAAATAAACAATTCTTTAGAATTAAAAGAGGTGAATATTAAACACTGTGAGTATATAACTCAAGAAAAAGACTTCTTGTGAGAAAATGGAATCTTGCATTGATAATAAAAAACTTAAGACTCCTAAATTCTAGACTGAAAACACCCTGAACTATAATAAGCTTGGGAACAGTGATTAGCCTTCCACCCTAAGGGTATAGGGTAAAGTGCTGCCTCTCTCAAACAGGGCATAAAAAATAAAGCAACGACAACAAGAATGACACATATTTAGGACAACTGAGCAACCCCTTATGAGGACTATGATACTAGAATGGAAGAAAGCAGAGGAGATCTCGGGGAAAACAACAGAGACCTTTTCAGAAAATCTGAGCTAAAATAATAATTTAAAAAAAGCTTTTTAAAATTCCTTTACTGCAGCTCTTTTACTTCCAAGTGCATAGAGAAGAATAGGCAAGAGGGACAGCCCCAGGCAGGAAGCTAAGCGGGACAAACTTGTCTGTCAGTTTGTTGTATTGTGGTGGCTTGAGTGTTGCTGTGAGGCTGGAGGCTATGCCACAGGTGTTTCAAACACCAGCAGGGTTGCCCATGATGGACAGGTTTTAGCGGAGCTAAGAGGCCATTCATTTCTCAAAGAACTGGCCAGTAAAACACTGTCTGATATATTATTGGACAACTTTGTGAATAGCCTAGAAACACTGTCCAATACAGTGCCAGTAGATGAGGTTGGAAAGCACTCAAGATACAACTGGGAAAGAGCTGCGTCATCAAAGTAGAGCCAACCTTAATGATGTGGATAAAGACCTATCGGGACCTCCATCTGCTGATGTGCCACAACTCAAAGGGAGAAGAAACAGCTGCAAATATCCATTAATAATCAGAACATGGGATGTACTAAGTATGAATCTAGGAAAATTGGGAGTTGTCAGAAATGAAATGGAATGCATAAAGATCAACATCTTGGGCATTAGTGAGCTGAAATGGACCGGTATTTTAGCCCTTCTGAATCAGATAACCATATGATCTACTATACCAGAATGACAAATTGAAGAGGAACAGTGTGGCATTCATCATCACAAAGAATGTTTTAAGATCTATCCTGAAGTACAATGCTGTCAGTGACAGGATAATATCCATACGCCTACAAGGAAGGCCAGTTAATATTACTATTATTCAAATTTATACACCAACCACCAAAGTCAAAGATGAGGAAATTGAAGATTTTTAGCAACTTCTACAGTCTGAAATTGACCACACATGCAATCAACATGTGCTGATTATCACTGGTGACTGGAATATTTGGCCTTGGTGATAGAAATAATGCTAGAGATCGCATGATAGAATTTTGCAAGACCAACGACTTATTCACTGAAAATACCTTTTTCTAACAACACAAACAGCAGCGATACAGGTGAACTTTACCAGATGGAGCACACAATAATCAGACAGACTACATATGTGGCAAGAGGCGACGGAAAAGCTTAGTATCTTTAGCCAAAAAAAGGCCAGGAGCTGACTGTGGAACAGACTATCAACTGCTCATATGCAAGTTCAACAAGAAGTTGAAGACAATTAAAACAAGTCCATGAAGGCCAAAATATGACCTTGAATATATCTCTCCTGAATTTAGAGACCATCTAAAGAAGAGATTTGATGCACTGAACATCAATGACCGAAAACCAGAGGAACTGTGGGATGACATTAAGAACATAATCCATGAAGAAAGCAAATGTCATTAAAAAGATAGGAAAGGAAAAAAACAAAAACAAAGGAAAGGAAGAAAAGACCAAAATGGATGTCAGAAGAGACTCTGACACTTGCCCTTGAATGAAGAGTGGCTAAAGCAAATGGAAGAAATGACAAGATAAAAGAGCTGAACAGAAGATTTCACAGGGCAGCTTGAGAAGACCAAGTCAATTATTATAATGAAATGTTTAAAGACATGGAGTTGGAAAGCTAAAAGGGAAGAATATGCTCAGCATTTCTCAAGCTGAAAGAACTGAAGAAAAAAGTTAAGCCTCAATTTATAATAATGAAAGATTCTATGGGCAATATATTGAACAATGCAGGAAACATCAGAAAAAGATGGAAGGAATAACAGAGTCACTGTACTCAAAAAGAATCGGTCGATGTTCATCCATTTCAGGAGGTGGCATATGATCAAGAACCAATGGTGCTGAAGAAAGAAGTCGAAGCTGCACTGAAGGAAGTTGTGAAAAACAAGGCTCTAGAAATTGACAGAATACCCATTGAGATATTTCAACACACAGAAGTTGTGCTGGAGGCACTCACTCGTCTATGCAAAGAGATCTGGAAGACAAATACCTGGCCAAATGACTGAAAGAGGTCCATATATGTGCCCATTCTAAATAAAGGTGATCCCAAAGAATGTGGAAATTATTGAACAATGTCATTAATATCGCATATAAGTAAAATCCTACTGAAGATAATTAAAAAATGGTTGCAGCAGTATATTGACACAAAACTTTCAGAAATCCAAGCTGGATTCAGAAGAGGATGTGGAATAAGGGATATTATCGCTGATGTCAGATGGATCTTGGCTCAAAACAAAGAAACCAGAGAGATGTTTATGTATGATTTACTGACTATGCAAAAGCATTTGATTGTGTGGATCTTAACAAATTATGGATAACATTGAGAAGAATGCAAATTCCAGAACACTTGACTGTACTCATGAAGAACCTGTACACAGACCAGGAAGCAGTCGTTTGAACAGAACAAGGGGACAGTGCATAGTTTAAAGTCAAGAAGGGAGTGTGTCAGGGTTATATCCTTTCACCATACTTATTCAATCTGTACACTGAACAAATAATCCAAGAAGCTGGACTATATGAAGAAGAATGTGGCATTAGGATTGGAGAAAGAATCATTAACAACCTGCGATATGCTGATGACACAACTTTACTTGCTGAAAGTAAGGATGACTTGAAGCACTTACTGATGAAAACTGAACACTATAGTCTGCAGTATGGATTACCCCTCAATATAAAGAAAACAAAAATCCTCACAACTGGGTCAATAAGCAGCATCATGATAAACAGAGAAAAGACTGAAGTTGTCAAGGACTATGTATTACTTGGTTCTATAATCAACACCAATGGAAGCAGCAGTCAAGACATCAGACAATGTATGACATTGGACAAGTCTGCTGCAAAAGACCTCTGAAGTGCTGAAGAGCAAAGATGTCTACTTGAAGACTAAGGTGAGCCTGATACAAGCCATGGTATTTTCAACCACCTCATATGCATGTGAGAGGGGGACAATGAATAAGGAAGACTATAGAAGAGTTGATGCTTTTGAGTTGTGGTGTTAGCAAAGAATGCTGACAGTACGAAGGACAGCTACAAGTACTAACAAATCTGTGCTGGAAGAAGTATAGCTAGAATGTTCCTTGGAAGTGAGACTGGCCAGACTTAGTCTGATGTACTCTGTTTGGTCATATTGTCAGAAGAGACCATTCCCTGGAGAAGGATATCATGCTTGGTAAAATGGAGGGTCAACAAAAAAGTGGAAGGCCCTCACAAGATGGACTGAGACACAGTGGCTACAACGACAGGCCAAGGTATAGCAAGGATCATGGGGCTGGCACAGGACCAGGCAGGGTTTTGTGCTGCTGTATGTAGGGTCGACGGTACATAACAATAACAACATATGGAGACGCTCATGGCAGACCTATGTTGTGCTGAGAACCAGAAATGCCAGATAAAATCAACTTGTGATGCCATAAAGGAAGTATTCTAAATAAGGAATGGGGCATGTCAAAAGAACACAGGAGGTAACATGATAGGACTCCTAATTGCCAAAGCTGGAATGATCTGAATAACAAAATAAATAATAATATTGGGCTTCAACAAAATAATTTCTGAGAGTTTATACTAATAAAAAAATATAATAAATATGTAATGAGTGATTCTTCTTAAAGAATCCCAATTAATAAATAGTGAAGAAAAGAGACAAATAGAAAAATCACCATTAGGCAAACACCAGAGTAATATCTGTCACAGAAAAGAACCAAAGATGGATGCTAAAATTACTGAGTAAAAGTTTGAGAAGGAAAAGAATTCTTTGTGGCAAATTATCAAATTGTATCACTCCAAGATATTTATTAGTTTTAGAAAAAGAAGTTTCTGTTAAGAAACCCAGAAGACACTACATTAATACAGTATTCAGTGTTAATAATACCAATAATATGACATCAAGTATTTTGAATCCCCTAATAAGATGAACTAAGAACACAACATCATTTCTGTGGTATTCTTGCCAAAAATTCATAGCCTTATTCAAACCATAAGGAAACATCAGACAAACCTAGACTGAGGGACATTCTACAAAGTAACTGTCCAGTAGACTTTAAAAGTATCAAGATTATTAAAAACAAGAAACACTAAGTAGAACTATCAGAGATTGTAGAAAACTAAGGAAAAACGAAATTAAATGCATAGAATCCTGGAATAGCAAGACGGACACTAATGGAAAAACTGGTAAAATTCGAGTCAGATCTGTCACTTAATTAATATTATTGCTCTATTATTAATTTCCTGGTTTTGCTAACTGAACTATGTTTACATAAGATGCTAGTATTAGGGGAAGCTTGGTGAAGGATATATGGGAATTCTCTATCATTTTTGCAACTGTTTATAATTGTCTAAAATTAGTTCAAAATAAAAAGTTAAGAAATAAATAAAAGCATCATCAAGCTATTGAAAAACTAGGGATCAGATTCAGGAAAGTGTAGAACCACAGAGACGTAAGCTGACAGTGTCTTTCCCCTTAAGAGCATTTGCTGATTCGGGGTTCTGCCTGGGCACTGGACTGCTGCTGGGGAACAGAAAGACCAGTAGATGTTTTGGCAGCTCCAGAAGGCTCGAGGGACAAAAGTGGGACTAATGATTCATAATACATACATGTGACAAAAGAGACGTAACCAGAATACATAAAGAACTACAAATCAGTTGCTGCTGTTATGTGCCATGGAGTCGGACTCGACTCACTGACCTCTCCTTGGGTTCCCGAGGTAGCATCACTATGGAAATAGATTGCCCAACCTTCCTTCTGAGGAGTGGCTGGTGGGTTTGAACTGCCAACCCAGTTAGCAGTCAAGTGCCTTAGGCTCTATGCTACCAGAGCTTCTACAAATCAGTAGAAAAGACAATTTAAATATTGGTGAAAATGAGAGGAATCACTTAAAAAACAACAACAAAAAAAGAATAACCAAACAGCTGATCATACATAAAATGGCACTCAACTTCAATAATGATCAAAGAAATGCAAATTAAAACCACAATGCAATACCACCACACATCTCCCTGAGCAGCTAAAATGAAAAAGACAGTTAATTTAAAGTGTTAGTGAGAAGGGAAACTACTGCAACTCTCACATAGAGCTGTTGGACTGTAAATTAGAATACTCACTTGGAAAACTGTTTGGCAGTAAATACTTTACTATTTAATAGTAAAGCAAAATATATGCATACCTTTGATCCCATGATGAGTGTACTTCTAGGTATATCCAACAGAAATGTGTGCACATGCACGCACATGTGTAGTCATTAAAACATACGTACAAGAGTATTCATGGGTGCACTACTATAAACCTAAATGCCCATTAAGAATAAACCAAAACCCACTGCCATCAAGTTGATTCTGCCTCATAGTGATCTTATAGGCAGAGTAGAACTGCCCTCAGAGGGTTTCCAAGCTGTAATCTTTGCAGAAGCAGACAGCCACATCTTTCTCCAGTTGAGCAGCTGCTGGGTTCGAACTCCCAACCTTTTGGATAGCATCTAAGTGCTTAACCACTGTGCCACCAGGGCTCCTTCCATTAAGAATAGAAAGGATAAATAAATTGTGGTATATCCATATAGTGGGAAACTATACAGCAATAAGAATGAATGAGCTACAACTGAATGGAATAATAAGGATGAATCTCACAAATATAATATTGAAAGAAAGAAGCCAAACATAACAGTTTATAACGTCTAATTCTAAAGTAAAATACAAGCAGAAGTAATCTATGGAATTAGAAAATAAGAATGGCAGTTGCCATGGGGAAGTGGATGAAAAAGTAGTAAATAACTGGAAAAAGGTACAAAAAGGGCTTCAAGGGTGTTGGTAATTCTTGATCTGTGCTGGCTACATGGATATGTTCTCTTTATGAAAATCCTATAGCTATATAGCCATATACTCACACAAGGTGTCCAATGAATGTATGGTAAATGCCAATAAAACTTTACTATTAAAAAAAATTTTAATTTCTTTAAAACATAAATGTCAGGAAGGTCTTATAAAGTAGATTATGGACATTATAAATGGTATTTCAGTGATCATCTAAATGAATATTCGCCAATTAAGCATTTCCATGAAGGATTCCAAAAAACGATTTCAGGATTACAAATGTGGTAGTGATAAACCAAACCCATGGCCACTCAGTTGAATTCTGACTCACAGTGACCCACAGGACAGAGCAGAACAGACCCATAGAGTTTCCAAGGCTGTAAATCTTTATGGAAGTAGATTGTTGCATCTCTCCCCCACAAAGTGGCTGGTGGTTTTGAACTGCTGATTAGTAGTCAAATCCAGCAGGATTCCTGTATCTAGGATCGCAAGAGTGCTAGATAATCACTTAAACAATTCATTATAGCTTTTAAACAACTGAATACTAAAATGACAGTCCAATTCTTTTCTTCCCTTACTATAAACATTATCAGCAATATCCATGTTAGAAAAGAGAAAGATAATTATGTAAGTTTCAATACCTGAGGCAGAGCTACGACTACTGGTAGATGAAGAATCGCTCTCTTCACTAGAGGATTCTGAACTGTGATCACTGCTGTCGGAATCCGAGGCAGAGGAGTCAGATTCTGAAGAGGAGGTCGCGGAAGAGGAAGAGGAGGGAGACGATTTATTTGGCTCAACATCTGGTTTCTGTGCCACGATGACCTTTGGGGTATTTTTGAGATGCTCACGCAACTCATCCCTAAATAAAAATACAATCTGTTAGGTCCTGCTTTAAAGGCAATTATGAGATAATTCTGTAAACTGAAAATAAGATTCTGAAAATAATCCTTACGTTAAACCTCCAAGACCTATAGAAGTAAAAAAGTTGATGGCAAACCGAGTGTTTCTTGGATTATCTCGGGGTAATAATCCTTCAAAGAATGGTTGTAGAGTTCTAAAAAAGAAAAATGAACAAAAGAGAACAAATTCATTAAAAATAAAAGAAAATCCTTACAGTCATTTTTCAGATTTTTCTAAATGTTAAATTAGTAAGTGAAAGACACTAAATAAGTGGTTTATGTCATTTATTAGATTGTTGTTGTTATGTGCCATCAAGTTGGACCCGACTCATAGTGACCCCTCCTTAGGTTTCTGAGGCAGTATCACTATGGAAGTAAATTGCCCAACCTTCCTTCTGAGGAGTGCCTGGTGGGTTTCAACCGCCAGCCTTCTGGTTAGCAGTCAAGTACTTTAGGCACTATGCTACCAGAGCTCTTTTTATTAGATTAGGGTACATGGTATTTAAATGAAATGAGTTGAATCAAGTCATAATTTATTAACTTGATTTCTGTAATTATAGAAAAGTATTTTTTTTTAAATTATACACATGTACAGAATACACACATATATATGTATGTTTATATATATATATATAAATGTATATGCTCTGTGCGTGTGTATATATAGAAAAAAAGTAAAAAGAAAACAAAACCAACTCTCTGGTGTGTATGTGTGCATGTGAGAGAGAAAAATAATCAACAAAAGGAAGATCAAGGGTGAAGGATGCAAATAATCACTGCTTTTACGGAGTGGAAAAAACACAGAAAAAGATTCATAATACAGTGTGGTTTTGAAAAGGTACTTAGTGCCATCATGACTAAGCAGCGGAGTTAGGGAAAACTGTTTCATAGAAAAAGGTGACATACACAAGACAATGAAGCATTTGCTAGAAAGAACAAGAGAGGACATTTTGGGCAGTGGAAACAGAGGTAAGGAAGCATAAAGAGTCAGACCTGCTTAACAAGATGGGCAATGGTGGTGCAGCTAGAGTGTTGCACAGGGAGAAGATGAGTCTGGTACAGCAGACAGGGACCAAATAAATGTATGAAGCCATGAGAAACTGATGGAATAGCCCCCACAGAGCATGAAGAATCCAGGATACAACTTAGGTAAACTTTAACATTGGAGGGGCAAGCTCAGAAGGAGACAGTGACTGAGAAGAAGACTAAGAAAGGTAGAATGAAAAAAAAGTAAGGAGCCACAGTGAACAAGTGGTCAACTGTGTGAAGCAGAGAGATCAAGGGGCATGAGGACTGAGAAAGACTACTGGCTCTGGCAGGTGGTCAAGACTACAGGCTCCGGCAGGTGGTCACTGAGATATTTCAAAAGATGATTTTAACAGTATGAATGGCATAGAAACCAATCTCAGTGGCAATGGGCAATCTACATAAATAGGAAATAACAAAAGATGAGACAGGGATTATATAAAAATCCTGGAACAAGATTCTAGTTCAGTTGTGTTAAGTTAAACAATTACATGATTGATATTTATCATTTATTAAAATGTCCATTGATGATAAATATTCAATATCAGAGAACTAGAGAGCATACAAAATTAATTTTGTGTTTTTCAACTGAAGAAAAGAGGAATTAATTCTGTGTTCTCTGCACTTGGACTGAAAATCCCCATTGCACGCTGTTCTGCGCCACAAAATGAGAGGTTTTTAGCCCAGTGTCTACTGGATAAACAAAGTCCACATGAGCTTAGCGCTCCTGCTTTTACAACCACGGGCAGACTTATTTCTGGTAATGTGGGGGAAACTCTGAGAACAGTGAGAATAAAAAGTGTTTAGGAATGAACTTACTCATCCTTTAATCTTGCATTAAGTTTAGGAAGACCCATGTATTCACATAGTTCCTGGAAAAATATTTTGACAAAAATTCTACTGGATGATGTAGTAGTCTCTTCACTCAGCTTTATACATTCAAGAACCTGAAAATTAAAATTAGAAAAGAATTTTATTTTGGTTTTCAAGATAGGATAAAGTGACCCATATTTATAACCTTAAGCATCTCATGAACTGATTGTCATGTTCAACAGAGAATCTCTAAACAGCATTCCTTATGCGGATCTGTGTTACTTCTCGGCAAAGTTGAAGACTTCTTGTCTACACTAATTTCCAAAATATCAGGAGGTTACACGAAAGAATTTATTCTCTTGAATGAGAAATGTGCTTGAGTAGCCAGGAGGATTTTGTGCCTTGAGCATAAATACTGATCTATATAATGTTAGTCCCTAAACCTCATTCATCAAAATGTGGTATGTATGAGAGTTTAGGGCAAAATGCTTCTCAGAAAGAGTGATGGCTTGTTCTGAATAGTAAGGCTAGGGCTCAAAAACTGAAGCCCACAGAACGATATGTGAGCACAAATGAAAATAAAAGCAGCTTCCAGTTTTTATGGGTTATGTGTTCCAAAGGCCCATTTGTTAGTTAATTGGTAAAATCTGAATTTCATTTTCCCAAAGTGAAAAAAACAGAAATCAAAATTGATAACAATTAGGTTGCTGGATCAGTTTACAAATGTCTATTAACATAGCTGGGCATACTTAGTACTTAGAGTGTAAAAAACTATTCAATGTTTATCAACTCAAAGACATTGTCTTATTCTACCATTAGGTTATGGTATTCTACAATGTGATCCTCCTCTTTCTTCCTGGATATAATTTCTTTCTTTTTTTTTTAACCTTTTCAACAACTTTACTCTTATAACTCACCACTTTTTACTTTGTATTACTACTATTCTTGGGTATGTGTTATGTCTTCTCTTAAAGGGTAACCTCACTGAAAGCAGTGGCCATATTTAATTTACCTGGGATCCCCAATAGTATGAATGGCATAGAAACCAATCTCAGTGGCAATGGGCAATCTACATAAATGGGAAATAACCTATTTCACCTGTCTGAGTGGCACATGGTTGGTAGCTCAATAAATGGTTGCTGAATGAATAGTAATTTTACAGTAAATGCCAACTTAACAAAGGCATTTCAAATTCCAACCCAGTGTACATTTCCTATCCAGAATATATCTTTCTTTGCTCTGTAATGATAGGAATTTTTTGCTATCACTTACTCAACTTCAATGAACACATTCTACCAGAACAATCATTCCTCTGCTATCCTGACTCAGAGAACCATGGACATAACTCCCTCAGGAAACACAAGGAATAGTTCAAAGAAGCATACACCACCAAAATAGTGGTGTATATAGACGTGTGTAATTACATATGTATGTGTACAGAAAAAAGTTAAAACCTGTAACATTTACTCTGAAAACACTCTTAACCATCATTCTTAAAAAACACTCTCATGTTTAGACTGTTAATATAATCCAGGATATTCCTTACACACACATATTTCTACTTAGCTTTTTGAACCCATTTATATATATATATAACATTTATATATATATATATAAAATAATTGTTACTTATATATAACAATACGAATATAATCTCAAAGATAATAGTTATAGTAAAAGTTGGCCACACTTTTCATTTTAAAACACATTTCCTAAATAGAAAAAGTATACCTATATTATACTTAATAACTACAAGTACAAATACTGAACCATCTACTTACACTCCATGGAAGTGAATCAGTGTATAAAAGATGAGCAAACATCTTGGCGACATTTCTCAATTTGTTTGTTTCTAAACGATGAATGGTATCATACTGTTCTTTGAATATACTTTCAAAGGATTCCATGTATTCTTTTTTTAGCATGCAAAAACGCTAATAAATGAAAAACCGAAGGTCAATAAGATTATAAGCACATTAAACCCTCTTAAATTTACTAAGAAGTGAATAAATATTTTGTATATCTTCACTGAACATGTATCAAAACCGCCAATTCTTTTTGTGATATATGATAGGATGCTCAAGAAAGAAGTTTATATATAAGTATTTTATACATATATATAGTCCCTATTTACCTGGGATTTATATACTAAATAAAGTTACACATGTATTTGATCACAGACACATACAACGTATACTCTACATATATAAAAATATACTTGACTTCAGAAACTGCTTTGAGATTTTGGGGAAAAAAAACAAAAGCATTTAATTGTCTTCTATCAGGAAACTGTTACAAAGCATGTGGAATTTTAAAAAATTCTAGAAGAAAGATATAAAGTTAAAGCATTGCAAAAACATTTCCCAAAATGGAGAAACGTGAAGAAGGAAAAGAGTTAAGTTGATTTTAGCAAAGATAGGGGCTGCCATGAGTCAGGTCAGACTCAATAGCACGTAACAACAACAACAACAACAACAACATGCTATTATATTAAACTAGACCACAAAGAAGAAACATTAATTTATAATGTTCAGGATAAGAATTCCCTTAGTGCTTAAATTAAATTCTGACATAAAAAGCAAGGCTGGAACTCACCCCAGCTAATAAGCCAAAAAATTTCTCATATGTCCTTTGCTGGGCACAGCAATCAAGTATCATGTTGCAGAGTTCTTTCTATTTGGACAAAAACAATTGCATTAATGATTCAAAACACGAGGAATCCATGCAGTATGATAATTTACCTATATGATAGAATCTGAATTTTTTAATAATGCTTTTAAAAAACACAAAACATTCAAACTTTGTGAATTTTGTTTATTAGGACAAAAAAATCTCAATCTTGGTTAAGTTCAGTTTTTTAAAGCCTTCTGTCTAGCTGACAACTTTGAAAGATATTTATACTAAATAGATATGAACCACTTCAAGACAGTAACAACAACTGGTATAAGAAACATATATCAGAGAAAGATTAACATACTGTATTCTAAAAGAATTCTACACAGGATTCTTTAAATACAGATTCACCAATACAACATTTAACAATTCAGTTTAAGTATTTCCCAAAGATTTAAGTTCAATTAGTATATAACAGAGTATGGAAAAAGGCAAAATATGATGAGTCTTTAAGAAGAATAAATGAGCACATTTAAATGCTAACTTAAAAACCCCCTGTGATTGATAAAGCAAAGATAGATTTAAAAAAACAAACAAAAATTACCTATGCAGTTAAATATTTTAACTTCAAAATCAATGTTACGCACATAGGTTAAGATCTCTCTTTGGAATGTTGTTATTGTTGTTGTTGTTATGTGCCGTCGAGTCGAACCCGACTCATAGCGACCCCTCCTTGGGTTTCCGAGGCAGTATCACTACAGAAGTAGGATTGCCCAACCTTCCTTCCGAGGA